AACTTTAGTATAAAAATGCTAAAAGAAAAAGAATAAGAGCTAAAATAATCATTTTGATAAATATTAGAGACTGATTTACGTAATACTTAATTATTTTTTAACTGTGAATGAATTTTAAAATATATAAATCTCATACATAAATTTGGTCATAATACATGAACTTGATCTGATTGGGAGACTGACATGCAACTTTCAGACAAGAACAACACAAAACAAAACAAGGGTACAAAGGCACAGTACTGAGGAAAATGTAGGGTTTTTGAGTTTTACCAGAAAACCATGTGAAGCAGCAGAGAATGAGATGCATGTATTTCTAATGCTGTTTCTTCCACCTGCTTGCCTTTCACACAATACCAGCATGACCTGCTCTCCATGTGCTTACTAATATCGTAACGCTGTATTTACAGAGACAGAATCAGAATTGAATATCGAAAATATCGGATTGTTAAATTTTAAATATACGATGATTATTCGTTCTTAATTTGGAGAAGCCTAATTCAAATATTGGGGGCAATCATGAAGGCCATAGGTTGAAAAAACAATGCTTTTGTTTTAAGAAAACTCGTTGAAAAAACTTGTTTGGAGAAGCATTCTTAAACAAAACCGAAGTAATTCCATTCATATAGAATGATCCAACTTAATTTGGACTTGGAGTCCTATTTTCTTTGAAGAGACTAAAATACCCCTAATCTATGCTAATTAAATTTGAAGTCTAAAATTTGATTGTTAGGGAAATTTAATTGGATTTGGAACCTAATTTTTCTGAAATGACCAAAAAAACCTTAAGACTAATGAGTTTAATTTTAAGAAAATAGATTGATTTCTAATTAAGGGTTGACTTGTGTAGATAGTACAAACTTCCGTTTATATGTATACGCAGTTTTGTTATATATATATACACATACTTGTGTGTGATCATTGGGTGATTTTATCAAAATATCAATCAAATAATATATAGACTATTTAGTTATTGTGGCGCGAGACTTTTCACATATTCGACGATTGATGTATGCATATAATTATTTGTTAAACACAACTGATGATGTGTTGCGGGATCACGAGGGGCCTGTGTCTCGGGTTTTGCTAAATCCATCGGAAGGTGTTCGACGCTCGATGCGTATATGTGGGGTATCTTTGAGGGCTTCTTGTCTTTGGCTTGGGATCTTGGATTTCGTTCCATCGTGGTAGAATCCAATAGTAAGGAAGTAGTCCATGCCCATTCATGACTCTAGGGCGATCATTCGGACCCCAATGATTCAACATACAATTACTTTTATTTATTTATTAAGCTAAGGTGATTACAAAGTAGTAAATGTTCTAAATACTCTCAATCATTTGACAATGAACGCTCAATTACCTTGCTGCAGTTGTTGGTACTCGAACCCATAAACTCTAAAACAATAACGATACCTTTAATTACTAAGGTAGGTTGATCTTGCATTAGGTTTTATAAGTTTTAAGTTAAGAGTCTTTTCTTCGCGCATAGATTAATAGATCTATTTGAGTTTGAGAAAGAATACTAGCATCATAACAGGAGTTCCAATGACATCCATACTAAAATATAATAGGGTAAAATATAAAAATAGTCCCCAAACTTTTAGGACATTTTTATTTTGGTCACCAAACTTTTAAAACTAACAATACCGTAATCAAACTTTTAGTTCATTTTCAGTAAAGTCCATGCCGTTACCTTCCGTTATTTGGGGCTGAAATGGCATGTTACCTCCATCAACTCACCTCCTCCTCCTCCTCCTTATTATTATTCTTCTTCTCATTCTCTTTCTCATTCTAAGTCTCATGCTTCTTCTCATTCTTTTTCTCCTCCTCCTCCTCATTATTATTCTTCTTCTTCTCATTCTCTTTCTCATTCTCTTTCTCCTTCTAAGTCTCATGCTTCTTCTCATTCTTTTTCTCCTCCTCCTCCTCATTCTTCTTCTTTTCTTCTCATTCTTTTTCTCATTCTCTTTCTCCTTCTAAGTCTCATGCATCTTCTCCTTTTTTTTCTCCTCCTCCTCCTCCTCTTCTTCTCTTCTTCTTCTTCTTCTTCTTCTTTCTTCTTCTTCTCCTTCTTCTTCTCTTCTCTTCTTCTTCTCCTTCTTCTTCTCCTTCTTCTCTTCTCCTTCTCCCTTCCTTTTCTTCTCCTTCTTCTCCTCCTTTTTTCTTCCCTTCCTTCTCCTTCTTCTCCTTCTCCTTCTTCTCCTTCTCTTCTCTTTTTCTTCTTCTTCTTCTTCTTCTTTTCTTCTTCTCCTTCTTCTTCTCCTTCTTCTTCTTCTCCTTCTTCTCCTTCTTCTTCTCCTTCTTCTCCTCCTTTTTCTCCTTCTCCTTCTTCTCCTCCTTCTTCTCCTTCTTCTTCTCCTTCTTCTCCTTCTTCTCCTTCTTCTCCTTCTTCTCCTCTTCTTCTTCTTCTCCTTATTCTCATTCTTCTCCTTTTCTCTCTTCTCTTCTTCTTCTTCTCCTTCTCCTTCTTCTTCTTCTTCTCCTTCTTCTTCTCATTCTTCTCCTTCTTCTCCTTCTTCTCCTTCTTCTCCTCCTTCTCCTCATTCTTCTCCTTCTTCTTCTTCTTCCTTCTTCTCCTTCTTCTCCTTCTTCTCCTTCTTCTCCTCTTCTCTCTTCTTTTCTTCTTCTTCTTCTTCTCCTTCTTCTCTTCTTCTTCTTCTCCTCTTCTCCTCTTTCCTTCTTCTTCTCATTCTTCTTCTCTTCTTCTTCTTCTTCTTCTCCTTCTTCTTCTCTTCTTCTCCTTCTTCTTCTTCTCCTTCTTCTTCTTCTTCTTCTTCTTCTTCTTCTTCTTCTTCTTCTTCTTCTCCTTCTGCTCCTTCACCTTCTCCTTCTTCTTCTTTAACAAAAATTTAATCAAATACAAAATGCCAAGCAATATATACATAATATAGTGAGTAAAAAACTATAGTTACAAACCGATCGTTTTCTTCGGTTTGTTCCACACGTTTTGCGGTACCCCAGCTTACGTGGCGCCTAAAATTTTAGGCCGGAAAGGATACAATGCGGACAAAGTCGATATCTGGTCCTGTAGGGTAATTCTATTTGTTTTAATGGCGGGTTATTTATCATTCAAAGATCAAAACTTCATGGCCATGTATAAGAAAATTTACAGAGGTGAGTTTAGGTGCTCGAGATGGTTTTTCATCTGAGTTAGTTCGACCACTCATGAAGCTACTCGATACTAACCCGAAAACTAGTATAACAATCATAGAAATCATGGAGAATCATTGGTTTCGAAAGGGTTTTAAACACATCAAATTATACATTAAAGATGATAATTTTTGCAACCTTGAAGAAAACGACGACGACATCGGAGCATATTCAACGGACCATTCATCGATGTCCGAGTCCGAAACCGAGGTCGAAACCAAGCCGAGAGTTTGTCCATTGCCGAGGCCGATGAGTATAAACGCATTCGATATCATTTCATTCTCCCCGGGTTTCAATTTATCCGGGTTGTCCGATGAATGAGGTGAAGGTTCAATGTTCATGACTGGTGCTCCGATATGGAAGATTATATCGAAACTGGAAGAGATAGCAAAGGTGGTTTGTTTTACGGTGAGGAAGAAGGATTGTAGATTGAGTTTGGAGGGTTCAAGAGAAGGTGTTAAAGGGCCATTGACGATCGCGACTGAGATATTCGAGCTAACACCATCATTGGTTTTCGTCGAAGAAGATGATGGGTTTGTGATCTACAATGTTTTTACTCATTATTTTATGTTTATATATCTTGGGATTTTGTATTTGAAGAAGAAGAAGAGGAAGAAGAGGAAGAAGAAAAAGAAGAGGAGTTGACAGAGGTAACGTGTCACGTCTGCAATAAATAACGAAAGATAACGGTAGGGATCTTAATGAAAACGAACTAAAAGTTTGATGATTGGATTGTAAGTTTTAAAAGTCAATTGATCATAATATAAGCACCTTAAAAGTTTAGAGACTATTTTTATATTTTACCCAATATGATATTATATTATTTTAGTTTGACATGTAATATTTGCAGGATATTATTTAATGATTTTGGTCTGTAAATTTTATTTATTTAATATATGTTTCTGATTATACACTATTTAAATTGGTGGAAATTCTGTTTCTGTAAATTAGTTTTTAATTTGTACAATTAATATTTAATCTGTTTTTAATTTGTACAATTAATATTTAATCTGTTTTGATTTTGTTAATCTATTTAATTTTAGATAATATTTTTGAAGAAAATATTTATTAGATTCTTCTCTTAGGGGCATTTTGTTTGACTCTTAATGGAATCATTTAGCGTTGAATGCTGAATCGTTCAACATTCAACGCGTTTGTTTCGTACCTCTGAATGATTCAGTGCTGACTGATTCAGCAAAACAGTGCTGACTGATTCAGCAAAACAGTGCTGAATGATTAAGCACACAAGTACATTTTGAATGATTTAGCACAGAAGTACATTCTGAATGATTCAGAGCCATTATCAAACATCATGTCACATTTAAAACTAATTTATATAGAGTATCTGAATCATTCAACGCTTAATTATTTTAAAGTAAACAAACAACCCTTAATATGATCTTTGAGTACTCTTGGATAGTCTGAATCAATTTTAAGATGCTATGCTATATTTAATGGTTCCAAAAAAAAATTCTTACTTTGACACAATAGAAGATGAGTAATCAATATTATAAAAAAATATATGAAAATTTATTAAATATTTTTAAATTTAAAACAAATCATCCATTATTATTATAATACATTTTAAATTTGACCCAAAGAGTTAAATTTCAATAAGAAAATACTAAAATCATTAAAAACGTAAAAAGAAAAAGAAAGGAGTGATTTGATGGGTTAACGAGAAAAAGGAAGCAGAAGCAGCCTAAGAACGTGGGTGTGTTTGCCTTGATACATAAAATACAGATTCCCTTCCTTCTTCCATCGTAAAAACTCCATTAAAAGTTTTCATATTTAAAGAAAAATCCAATGGTTTTGATAAAACCAAACCCAATCTTTTCTATTGTAAAATAATTTTTATTTTAAGAAAATCCCAATTTTCATTTTTCCTTTTCTTCTCCATCGTCCGATGCTTTTTCATTGATTCTCCAAATAACAACAAATATTACTAACAATTTCTACCAATCCCCTCCTCTCGCGCGCCAAATTAAAAGAAAAGTGCCATTTCTCTGCTTTGCTTCTTAGTTTTTGCTCATCAGGTTATCTCCTTCTCGCATTTACACTTTATAATGATCTTTTTTATGATTGTATGTATGTATATATGGTTTGGGTATGTTTATTTAAGCGTATATGCATCCGGGTTTCACTTTGTTTGTTAAAATGTGTATAAATAATTTGTTGGTACTTCTATGTTTTGGTTTTCAGGGGACATGGCGGATGATATGGCGAGGGGGCCAGCGAGTCCAGCAGGAGGGAGCCATGAGAGTGGAGGGGAGCAGAGCAGTTCTCACTCAAACGTGAGGGAACAAGATCGTTTCCTCCCAATTGCTAATATAAGTAGAATCATGAAGAAAGCATTGCCAACTAATGGCAAAATTGCAAAGGATGCTAAAGATACTGTTCAAGAATGTGTTTCTGAGTTCATCAGCTTCATCACTAGCGAGTACGTATACTCTTAATCTGGGGCTTTTGTTAATTGTCGTTTTGGGAACTTTTGTTGTGTTTCCCCCCCTTTCCCTACCTTTTTTAGACTTGAGTTCTATTTTGGTTGTAGAATTCTTGTAGGTGCTTTGAAAGTTGTAACCTTTAAGGTGGTAAAGATTTTTAAGGGACTGCAGTACAGAAGAGGAATGTAGGCATTTCTGTAGTGGACGGTAAGTCCAGGGATTTAATTTGCGGTCACGTCTTCGGTTTGCATTGCCTTTATAGCAATTGCTGCAGACCTAACGGATGTTATTGTGGTCATTGCGGGTATCGTGGTCGGGCAATAATGGTTTCGGATGGATCTGTAAACGTTATATAACGGCCGCTATTCCGATATCAGACCGTTATTTAAATCCCTTGCAACACTTTGATATTTCTTTTAGGGAATTTTGGTAGAAATTGGAAGTGGTTTCAGTTGATTTGTTTTATTTATAGCGGTAAAAGTTTGCATTTTGAGGGATGTTGGTTTAGTGTTTGATAAAATATTGGGAACTTTGTTGTGTTTCCCCCCTTTCCTACCTTTTTTAGACTTGAGTTCTATTTTGGTTGTAGAATTCTTGTAGGTGCTTTGAAAGTTGTAACCTTTAAGGTGGTAAAGATTTTTAAGGGACTGCAGTACAGAAGAGGAATGTAGGCATTTCTGTAGTGGACGGTAAGTCCAGGGATTTAATTTGCGGTCACGTCTTCGGTTTGCATTGCCTTTATAGCAATTGCTGCAGACCTAACGGATGTTATTGTGGTCATTGCGGGTATCGTGGTCGGGCAATAATGGTTTCGGATGGATCTGTAAACGTTATATAACGGCCGCTATTCCGATATCAGACCGTTATTTAAATCCCTTGCAACACTTTGATATTTCTTTTAGGGAATTTTGGTAGAAATTGGAAGTGGTTTCAGTTGAGTTTGTTTTACTTTATAGCGGTAAAAGTTTGCATTTTGAGGGATGTTGGTTTTAGTGTTTGATAAAATATAGATCCTAGTGTCTTTTCTGCAACATTATGGTGTTTTTCTGAGCCACCTTTTAATATGAACTATAGAAGCCAAATCTTGTTTCATATTGGTACTTATTTTAATGTTGTTTCTATGAATTGTAAATAATGGATATGATTTTGGGACTTTGGCTGTTGTTTCTGACATATGCTGATTGTTGGTTCACAGAAAATCTGGAAGTTTGACTGATGCTTTTTACTTTTGAATATGAAAGTTTGGCTTATGAGGAATGCACTTTCATATGGAAAACTTGGGTCCTTGTCTTTTTTACATTTTTTAATCCAACCTTCAATGTTATTTGTGATTTACCTTATGTTTTAGATGAGAAGCAGAGTGTTCAGTATCTTGTGACTGGTGTGAAATATATCATTTTTTGCTTGTTTAATGATCGATTTATTTGTTTTGAATTAGGATTTTGTTTTGTGAAATGATTCGGGATGTTTGTTTCCGCAGGGCTAGTGATAAATGTCAGAAAGAGAAGAGGAAGACAATCAATGGTGATGATCTGTTGTGGGCAATGGCAACATTAGGCTTTGAGGACTATATTGAGCCACTTAAAATATATCTGGCCAGGTACAGGGAGGTAAGTGGAGCTTTAAGTTTGTACCTATTTGTTTATTTACTTCACTTTGCTCGATCGAAATGTTTGGATATTTCAATCTTGCAAGTAAATACTATAAGGCTCAAACTGACATGATTTAGGAGTGCAAACTTGCTTTGTTATATTTAATCTGACTATTTCTTTCTTTCTTTCTTTTTGGCCTTGTTCTTGGGGCTGATGTTTTTGGAATGATCATGATGCGCAGTTGGAGGTAATTATACTCTCTTGTTCATTACTAATACGCATATATGTATCTATTGGGTTAGGATCCACTTACACCTAGTGTAAAACTTTTAGTGTTAGGATCATTGGATGAGTGAAAATAAACGGCTGATATTATCTCATTCTTTTCCCTTCAAATATCTTCTCATTTCCTTCTATTTTCTCTCATCCAATGATCCTAAAAAGGTGTAAAACTAAAAGGTTTTAAACAGTGTAAACGGATCCCGACTAACATATATATATATATTGCTTGTAGTTTGTATAGTTTGACAGTGTCTCCTCTTTTAACTGCAAACTTTGTAAACTGGCAGGGTGATGCTAAGGGATCCTGCTAGGGGTGGTGAAGGGCCTCTTAGAAGGGATGGAGCTCTTCCTGTCCAAAACCCACAGGTGAAATAATGATATTTACTCTAGATTTTTGTTCTTGGAGTGAATTTTGTGTACGTTTCTCTCTTTTCTTTCTTCTTTCGAACATTCCGTAATGTACTCGACTGAATTATCTTGTTGTTCTTCTGCATTGGTGGTGAGAAAATCCTGCAGTTTCCTATCCAGGGGTCATTGAACTATATTAATTCCCAAGTAATTCTCCTCTCTCTATCACATATCTGGCTTTTTATTGTTAATCTTGCAAGTATAATTTGCACAAATCCTTGAAAAATGAGGTGTTGAATTAGCTAAAGCTTTGTACATCATAGTTTGACTATCATTCTATGCTTTCAGGGTACCATTTTTCACCAATGAGGTCAGGATTCTTGAATATTAGAGGATGCATGATTAGATTATATTACAGTTTTCACTGAGATTGATTGATTGGAGAATCACCTCTTTGCGAATGACTGGATTATCTTCTCTTGTACTTATCTCTCGACTTGCAATCCGGGACAAAAAAGTTCACCCGGAATCGGTTTAGCAAAGTTCTAACCGAACCAACCTGTATGCATGAAAACATCTGAATCAATCATATGTTACAAGGATTATTATCCCATACATGGGCGGTGGGAGAAATATTCCATGACCGGGGCTGTATCAATTTCATATGTCGTGTTTAGAGTTTAGGGTCATTCGATTATGTCAGATGGCATATGTTTCACCTGCATGTTTTTATGTTGATGTGTTAGGTATATAAGCAGGCTAGCCATACTCTCCCTCATCATATACCCATGCTAGTTGTGGTAATTAATAACATTACAGGATTGTTGGATAGTTTATCGAAACTTTATACAATGATTCGATTTCCTTAAACGTTGCAGGCGCAAGGACATCATATGATCTTTCCCTCGATGCAAGGCAACGATTAGCTGATCCGAGCTCCCTCTACCACTTTCAGAAGTGTATTAGGGGCTGGTTACATTGTTTAAACTCAACTCTTTTAGGATCTTTATTGTGGACTAATCTTGATTATGCAAAGTTGCACACCTTGGGGAGTATTTAGGTTAGCTTGTTCTAAGGTGATATTGAAATTAGTTGAATGATATATCCTTCTACTGTCCATATTGCATCCATTCTGTATCGTATTTTGCGCAATTTTTATATTTAAATAGATTTCGGAATGTTCGTATTATATTTTGTATGTCTTGTTATCAACCCGATTCTTTGGATTGATACAAGGGATATTCGGCAGCTGTGATGCCAACGACCCCAACCACCAAACCCACACCTATGAGGCTGCAAAATTAAAGAGTAGCCTCCACTTGCCTCAAATGTGTACTGATCTCGATCCGGAATCCTTAATTTAACAATGTCATTACATCATAAACACTACCGACCACCTGGACAAGGAAGCTGAAACCGTCGTGTCTCAACCCTTGTGGTCGAGACCCTGTCATTAGCTACCTATTTAGCATGAACAATCTGGCCACATCTTATCATGTCTTGCTTGCCCCCTTCCCCCACTTGATTTTCTGCAAACTTGTCTCTCAACCTTCATTTTCTCTCTCTCTCGGTATGCTCTCTTTGATTCCCTTTTGGCTGCTTCCCACACTTGACACTCTCTTTCACCCCTCAATCTTATGTAACTGATGATTGAGTTTTAATTCGATTTATATTATTATTGTTGGAAATGATATTACTGTAAAGCATTACCCTAAAAATCACAAGAAACAAAATAGATTTAGTGTCGTGGAGAATCAATGATTTAGAAGTGATTTGGGTTCCAATTGTTGTACTAGCATAAACAATGTCGTTCCAAGATTCACACTAATCTTTAGGAAGGTGGAACTCAAATAAAATTACACTTTAGAGGACAATAATCAAACAAAGAGAGAAGTAGAGAAGGCAAATGACTGTGAAAATGGACTTCCCAAAGGGGAGGGATAGTTAGAGGCAACAAGGATGATGGAACATTGTTTTAGGGTATTATGTCCTACAATACAATTATGTTGTGGGAGGGCAATGTCTTTTCCGTTTGCCAACTCAGACCCACCCTCCACCCATAAGGCTATGTGACCCCCTGGCCCCTCATTCCTCTTGTCTTTATTAATTTCTTCCCATCACATCTGGTGGTTGGCCACCCCCCCCCTCATGCTCCTCTTAAACACGATCCATTATTATATGGTTAAAGCATACCCGATCACTGAATGATCGTTTCAATTACTGAACTTTTGAAAGTTATAAATGACTATTAAATCTATCAAATTATTATAAAACGGCCATCGAATTATCCAACTTTTACACTTACTATAATGTCATAATGTTCATTTTGCAAATTTAATGACTGTTTTATAACCTTTAAAAAATTCAATGACTAAAACGGTTATTTGAGCATATAGTTTATTGAGTTTAGATGTACTTTACACTTATTATATTGATACATCTGTATTTACAGATAAAGGAATACAATGGCATTTGGTTTCTGCAACACAGTTGGCCACGTTTCTCGTGTAAGGCAAAGAGAGAGAGAGAAATGAGATGTTTGGTAATATGCAGGACGGACGCATGATTTTAAGTTAGAAGATAAATTTAAATTTATAAAATTTTAGGGGCAAAAATAAATTTTAATAGAAAATATATAGAAAAAATTCTAAAATATAAGATAATTTTAAATTTTTAAGGAGGTGACTGCTCTCACCCGCTCCGTAGTCCATCATGGTAATATGTATGTATCTGTTCACTCCTCGCGTGATCTACCATTTATTGTTGTAGTTGAAACTATGTATGTATGTATGTATATATGTATGTATGTATATATTTATGTATATATGTATGTATATTGTCATGTAAACTTTCTATGTATGTATGTATGGATCATGGATGTGTAAAAAATGACCTATGAGAGTTTATCGATAGGTGGGTAAGCTTTCTACAATAGTGATGGTGGTTGTCGATGATAATAAATTTGAGATTAAAGATTTTTAATATTTAGGGGTTTTATTAATTTTAGTTGTTTTGTGAAAATAAAAAATATATTTTTTAAATTTTATGATTTTTTTATTAAAATTAAACAAAACTGAAAGAAATTAAAAATTTGGTCACATGTCAAATACTATTACTTAACTGATTTTCAACAAATTTTTTAACGATTGTAAAATGAAAGCTTTGAAAATGTTAGACATATACTTTGACAAAAAATTCTTTAAACATTTAAAATAAATAAAATATATAATTTAAACCGTTATTTTTCAATTAAAGCTTCAAAGTAATTATATAAATCAAATCTGTAAATCGAAAGATAACAATAATTCAAACTCACATCTTATTATTACTGGGATGTTGAAGCATTAATAGTTGAATGGCATGACAGTTTAGTGCGAAGTGTGTTGATGTGGAAGCTGAAATAATTAAAGTTTTTGAGTAAACTATACGTTTAATACTTCAATTATCAATTTTGTTTCATTTTGATCATCTAACTATTTTTTGTTTTAAAACCATGCTTAATGTAATGTTTTGGTTTCATTTTGAGCACCCACAGTTAAGAGATTAATGGTGATGTTTTAAAATCGTGTACTTCAGTTTTGTATAATTTGATTTCTCTGATTTTATAACATCAATAGTCGATCCAAATAATTAATACATTGATGTGTGTGTGTATATATATTTGAATTGAAATGAAGCCCGAGCTTTTACAACTTAATGAGAAGCAGTAGTAATGCCCACAATATCACTTTGAAGAGCAAGTTGAACAAAGTGAGGAGCAGGAGGATTAAGCCATGTTTGAGCTTCAGAAAGATGCAGCGAAAATTTTGCAAGGGTGTCTGCCGCTATATTGGATGAAATTTTGCAAGGATGTATATTTATTGAATATATAATGAAAAGTTAAACAATCACATTAGTCAAACTATCTTTTATGAATTATAATATTTTGCACTCATGTTTGTCCTTGGTGCGAAGGTGTTTCTTAGTTAAGGTTTAAATTAAAGACCAAAATAAACAAAACAAACAAATATATGTAACAAAAATAAACAAACTAAAATCCATCATTATTTTTTAACAAAATAACACAAACTTATATACGAAAAACTAAGGAGAATAAGAAGAGAAAAAAAAGAGAGCCTACGTATATATAAGAGTTGGAAGTCAAAGTTGGATGGCAACACATGTAACACATAAGTTGCTAAATAGGTGGTGGCCTAATTTTGTTGAATTTTGGCTTGAGTTAATTACATTTTTAGTCATTGGACTTTAGGATATTTTCAAAGATTAGTCTCTAAACTTCAACTATAAATACCCTAGCTCATTTAGCTTCAAAACTATTCAAAATCATTTCTTTCTCCCAATACTAGAGAGTTTCTTGTGAGTAGTGAGTGTTTTGTAAACACTTGTAAATTTTCTCTCTTTAGTAAAAGATTTGCAGCAGTCCGGAGACGTAGGCAAATTGGCTGAACTCCGTTATCAATTTCGGGTATTATTTTTCCGCTTTTATTTCGCATTCTCACTAATCTGGTTATATGGAAATTACTCGTTACTCGTTTATTTCCCAACAATTGGTATCAGAGCTTTTGGTTGTGAATTTTATCAATTTTTTGCGAGGTTACTATTTATTACTATTCATGTGAATAGTAAATTTTGTGAATAGTAAAAAAATTTGTCGGCGATACGAATTTGTCGACGGAGGTGTTCTAATACACGGTGGTTCGCGAAAATTGTCAGAAATGATCCAAAGAAGCCAGATTCGAGTGGGAGCGATGGCTGCAGACGAAGGGAAGGTGAAAATTGAAAAGTTCGATGGTACGGACTTTGGCTTTTGGAAGATGCAGATTGAAGATTTTTTGTACCAGAAAAATCTAAATCAACCTCTCTCAGGAAAGCAAGCAGATGGCATGAAGAATGAAGACTAGGCTCTCCTCAACAGACAAGCCCTTGGAGTTATCCGACTGACATTATCCCGCAATGTTGCTTTCAACATAGCAAAGGAAAATACCACGGCAGGTCTTATGGCGGCTCTCTCCAGTATGTATGAGAAGCCATTGACCTCAAACAAAGTGCACTTGATGAGGCGATTATTCAATTTGCGGATGACGAAAGGGGCATCGATGGCACAACACCTAAATGAACTCAACACAATCACAACCCAGTTGAGTTCAGTGGAAATTGAATTCGATGATGAAGTTCGAGCTTTAATTCTCTATCATCTCTATCAGACAGTTGGAATGCTACTATTACAGCAGTCAACAGCTTATCGGGAAATAACAAATTAAAATTCGACGATGTTCGGGATCTAGTATTAAGCGAAGAAATTCGACGGAGAGAATAGGGTGAACATCAACCTCCTCAGCCTTGCACACGGAGTCGAGAAGGAGAACTTCAGAAAGAAATTCAAATCGTGGCAGATCGAAATCCAGAATGGGCAAATCAAGAACATGAAAGAAATATTTTACCTGTTATAAATGTGGCAAGAAGGGTCACTTTAAAAGAGATTGTCGAGCACTGAAGAAAGATACCGGTGCACATGAATCTGCCAACATGACAGAGGAGACAGGTGATGCCATGATTCTAAGCGTCAACACTCCGATTGAATTATGGATCTTGGATTCAGGGGCATCTTTCCACTCCACCCCATGCCGAGAAATCATGGAGAACTATGTCAATGGTGATTTTGGGAAGGTTCATCTAGCTGATGATGAAACCTTGAAGATCGTCGGAAAAGGAGACATCTGATTAAAGTTTCCAAACCAGACCACCTGGACGCTGAAAGGAGTGAGACATATTCCTGGCCTCAAAAGAAATTTGATTTCTGTAGGACAGCTTGATGGAGAAGGATATAGCACAACCTTTTCAGGTTGTGAATGGAAGATTACCAAAGGAGCACTGGTCATAGCTCGTGGTAAGAAGACTGATACTCTCTATGTAACCTCAAATTTAGAGAGTATCATTGCAGTAGCAGATACTGATGGAAAATCAAACCTATGGCACCAAAGGCTTGGTCATATGAGTGAGAAAGGGATGAAGACACTTTTATCAAAAGGGAAGCTGCCGGATCTAAAGAGTGTAGATGTCGGAATATGCGAGGATTGCATCTTTGGCAAAAAAAAGAAAGTCAGCTTTGGAAAGATT